CCCTGGCCCTCCCCCCCGCCCCCCCCCGGCCACGGCGGGCGGCAGTTGGTGATGTCACCACCACCAGAACCTGGCCCCCGCACGGAGCCCGCCTGCCTCAGGTTCCTGCTCCCCGGCACAGCGGGCAGGTGAGAGTCCTGTGTCCGTAGCGGAGAGTCTCCACTTTGGCCAGCAGTACAGGGGGTATGACACAGCCCGGGGGTGGCTCCTAGAGCCCAGCCCCTGCTCCGGGCCCCAGTGTCCCCATCCGACCCCTCCAGGACACGGCCTTGCCCGACCCCCCCGCCTGGCGCTCTGGACCCCCACCCACCCCCGTCACCTTCCTGCTCTACGTTGGCCCCTCCCCAGTCCCGGGGGCCACGGCCCGTCCCCCGCGGCCTCGTGAGGGTCACGGCCAAGGGCTGGGCCATCTCTGCCAGCTCCTAGCGCCGGGGCCAGAGTCCACGGGGCGGCTGACTCGAGCTCCTTCTCGGAGCCCTCGGCTCACCCCTGCCTTAGCCCAACCCATCGCTCACGTGCGCAGAGCGAGGCAAAGAGCCCCCCGGCCCGCCAGCTTCCCCCGGCCACCTTTTCTGGCCAGAGCCTGGAGCCACGGGGCTGGGAGGGACCGCCACGCCCGAGGCAGGATAAGACCCGTCCACCCTCTGAGCCACGTGACAGTCACCCCTGACAGCCGCCGGTGTCCCCTCCACCCCGCAGGGCAGCAGGGTGACCGTCGTGTTGCTCAGAGGTTAGGCACGGGGTTTGTCTGGGCTGATCTGGACGGGCCTGATCCTGCCCCAGGACTGGATGTGGCCCCGCAGGCCCGTGCCAGCCCCACGTCCCGGTGGGCTTCCTTGGTGACTGCCCAGCCTGCGTGCGTCCTCGTGCCTTTGAGGCCCCCGAGCAGGTCCTCGTGCAGCCCCCGGGTGGGACACGTGGGCACCTTGACCCCCCGCATGGATCCATGCCTCTGAGCCCCTGGAGGCCGACGAAGCCCAGCGCCCCGGGAGCGACCCTCGTGCTTTGCCCATCGCAGGACGTGCCACATATTGGGACGGCGACCTCCCGAGCTGCCCGTCGCCTTCCTGTCCTGCGCCAGGTCTTCCCTGCAGGTCGGGAGGGATGCTCCGCTGGTCGCATCCACCTTCTGGACCACAGCGCCGTCCTCCACGGGGGTTAGGAGCCTTGCTCTTCCAGAGGACGTCCAAGAAATGCAAGTCTCCCGTCAGTACCATGGGGGAGCGCGGTCACCTGCTTGGCCTCATCCGGCCAGGTGCTGGTCAGATGGACCCCGCCTGGCTAGAGCATCCCCCCCGCCAGCGAAGGATCCAGCCGTCCCTGCCTGGGCGCATGCCTGCCCGGGGAGCATGGAAAGCCGCCCCCTGCACCCTGGCTCCGTTGTCTCCTGGCCAGAGCTTCGTCCTCAGCTGCCCGGGGCGGAGGCGGGAAGGTGAGCGGGGCCGTTATCATCTGCAGCGTGTGCAGCTTTCACAGGCCCCCGGCTGCCCTCGGGAGGCCAAAGAGCATCTCGGTTCCTGGGTGAGGCTTGCCTGGCATTCAGCTCCCGCTCCAAGAAGGGAAAAGTCCAGGGTCCAGGTCCCTGGGAGATCCCCGCCCCAGGGCCAGCTGGTGCTGTGCGCTCAGCGCCGCAGCGAACCAGGCATCGCAGCCCGCAGAAAGGGACGCCGGGCAACAGGTGCCCCGATACCCCAGCTCAGCCCCGTGCCACTGTCTGAACCTCTCCTGGGGGGACCCGTGCACCCCGGGTCTCGGCCCCGGGGTGTAGTCCTGGCCCAAGCCCAGCCCAGCCCCTCACCGGGTTAGAGGGCAGAAGCATGGAGCAGGAGCAGGCCTAGAGCCGCCTGCAGACACCCCCCAGGGCGACGGGGCCCCCTGCACGCATGCACCTGGGACCCACACGTGTGCCGAGCCCCACCCCTGGCAGGCGGATGCAGGGCCGGGCTGGAGCTGACCCCGTTCTTGGTGGCTCGGGAGCTCCCGGGGGTGAAACGCGACGCCGGGCAGGCCACGGTGCCCGCGCAGGTGCCTGCCCACGGTGCCCGCGCAGGTGCCTGCCCACGGTGCCGGCGGGGCTGGCTGGCGGCTGCTTCAAAGCCCGGCCCGGGTGCCAGCGTGAGAACAGAGGGCCGTGGGGGGGCGGGAAGGCAAGTGGGGGGGTTGGAGACCAGCCAGGGGCAAACCCAGCCCGTTCGCATCAGGCCGGGACCCGCCAGAAGGAGCTCCCGGGGTGGCTGGGCCCTGCCACGGGGCGGGGGCAGGACCGGCTTTTCTGGGCAGGGGATGCCTGTGAGCCTGTCCGGGGAGATTCCAGCCCGACCAGCTCCTGGCCCGCCCGGGGCAAATGTGCACCAGTGCCTCCTTCCCCGACCTGCAGAGCAGACCCCTTGGACCTGGGCCAGGCTCATCCCGGAGCTCCCCCTCCCCGCCAGCCTCTGCA